AACTCCACGGACTTCGTGACGAGGAAGCGGCTGGTGGGTTGGCTGCTGCTGGCGCGGGAAGGCGACGATGCTCTGGTGCAGCCGCAGGCGCTCACGGCCCCGTGGCGCCCGGAGCCGCTGTGCGACGCAGCGGCGGAAGGCCGGTTGCCGGATCTGAGGCGTGGCGCGGAGGGGGATGCAAGATGGGAGTGGTGCAATTTTTGGATCAAAGTTATTATGGAATACTATGCGTACTTCAAGAAGACCTTTCTGTCACAAAACTTTGATTGAATTTGGGATGGTTTTGGGACCCCACTTTGGGCCACAGTCATTTTCCATGGGAAGTCCGGGAGCAGCAAAAATGGCAGCTCGTATGAGGATCACTTGTCACTGAGGGGCCAAAAGTTTGCTTGTTGAGGTCACCAGGTGCCTAAATGTGTGCATCACAACTTGAGTGGCTGATAGGCAAGCTAGCAATGTCTTGGCTTGGATCCTTACGATTGTGTCGGTAGTGTATAGACTTGAAATGAATTCAGAATGAACACGGGAAACTCCCAAACCTTTGAATAAGTGCTTGGAAGGCTTGCTACGACTAGCATTGGGGGTTTAGCGACGTCGTCGCTCAGGCGCTACTTGCACGAGCTTCCCATCACTTGGCCCAGGGATGAGCAGGGTCGCACGCCGCTGCAGTTGAGTGTCTTGCACCAGCACCTACCTTGCGCTGTTCGGCTGTTGGAGGTCAGCTAAAGCTTGGAGGGGATACAGTGTGATACAGTGCCGTGGAACAGAACCATGAAGAATCTCATATGTGGAGGCCTGATCATAGTCACATGTTGGGACAAGGGTTGTGGAACCACGCAGGGGGCAGTGCGCTTGTAATGCCCCAAACAGTATGATCCCTTGGAATTGCTCACCCTCACCGCCGACCTTGTTAGGCAGTTTCTCTTAAGTACAGGATTTTTTCTTGGGATGGTTTCAGATCTTTATTTGAAGATACTGTAGATGCCAAAGTCAATGTTGTACTTGGGCGGCCTTTTCTTGTGTTTTTGAATAAAACATGGTCTAGTCCAATGGTGTGGATCTGCTGAGAGAACAAAGCTGCGCATCAAAGCACTGGCGATTGACAGGCTGGCGCTGATGCTGAAGAAGCTCTGCGTGAATGCGAGCAGAGGTGGGGATGAGCCAATGTGAAATATGACGAAGCTTCGTGAAGCTCAGAAGCTCTTCAGAGCGCCATGTGCGCCACTCCCGGAGAATCCTGGATGTCCAAAATGTCAACCCGATCACTTATCGCAAGTTGATGCCTGGGCGAGTCTCAAGGGATACTCAAAGAAGTGAAACATGTCTATGCGATTCTATGCGTCTATGCATGGGTAAACAATCCCGCTGGGTTCTAAACCAATTTCATGTGAGTTCTGTAAGACATGATATGTCATGTATTGTCATGTGATAATGACATTTTTTCATATGCGCCACTTTGCCACAGGGACGATGAAATCGATGAGTTGTGCTCTGCGCTGCTTGGTGCCTTTGCTGGCGCAGAGTCCGATGAGTCGAGGCTTCAGTTGCTTGGTGGCGTTGGTGGCGTTGGCGGCGTTGGCGACAGAAGGTAGTTGCTGCAGCCGCTTCTCATGCTTTTGATTTTTGCATTCAGATTCTGCCTGTTTTCATCACTGGACGCGAAATGTAGCATTTTGCGTGTATCAGACTATAGTTACTATAGAAACAAAAACGAATCGATACAGCAGGAAAAAACATGGTGTTGCTCGATTTGTTTTTTCCGTAGCGAGGTTTGGTCAGTTCATGCCAACACCTTTGCCAGTCTTAGTTTGCTATCTCGAATCATTCCAAGATTTAAGGGGTTGTTTGCGTTTGAAAGAGACCAACTCAGAGTTGAGCAGCCAGTTTCTATGAACTATTTATTACGGTATGGCTATTTCACTATTTACCATATATATATATATATTTAACTATTTAACCATTATTTTAACCATGGGCGGACCGTTTCTAGAAGTTTCGACTTCGACTTGAGGTCGGCGCTGAAGAGTTTGGACCCAGCTGAGCGAAACGTCGCGCGCACCCAGCTGGCAAGACTTCAAGGCGCACCTGCCATGGCCCAGCGATGTCATGTTTTGTCAAGTTCCAAAACATCTGAACAGTTTTTCCATCACTTTCATTTGCTGTCCCATTCCTTGGCCCTGAGGGATTTCTTCGGCGGATCGTTGTGTGCCAGGCACCAAATCCGAGGACGGCATCGACAACGACCCCGACGCTGCCTCTGCGTCCACGGAGACGGCTGAGGGCGAGTCGAAGCTGGGGGAAGAGCTGGCTGCTTCGTCGTGTCTCTACGAAGCCTCAGAGGTTTCAAGTGGGCAGTGCTGGGTCTGCTGGTTGTAGTTTGCTGCATAGCTTGACTGTGCTTAATGTTGTGAAATCTATAGGTCCTATAGGTTTTGCATTGTGGGGCTGGCTGTTTCAAACACCATGCTTTGTGCTTGTTTCCAAGATGATTTTAGTTGCTTCTATACTTTATGATGTCTATGCCGTCTATGTCACACTTTTTCAACAGGTTTTAAAGATGCACGGCTCATGCTTGCCTACCCAACTGTTTGTCTTGTTGCTCAAGGCTTCTGAAAGCAGTGAAAAGGAAGCTTCGAGACGCCAAATGGCGCAGAGAAAAAAGCGACGTTCGAGGCGGGCCTCCTTCTCTGGACGAGGACGCCGGAGATATGCCATCAATTGGAGAACTCTGTGATGGAGAAGTCTGTGGGTCCGTTTGGTACCCATTTGTGGTTGCCATCAAATATGTATATATACATATGTATATGATATGTATATATATATGATATGTATATATATATGATATGTATATATATATGTACAAATACATATATTTGTATATATATATATACACATATTACATAAATAAATGTATGTATGTATGTATGTATGTAATGTATGTATGTAATGTAATGTAACGTAACGTAACGTAATGTAATGTAATGTAATGTATGTATGTAATGAATGTAATGAATGTAATGTATGCAATGTATGTAATGTATGTAATGTATGTATGTATGTATGTATTGTATTGTATTGTATTGTAATGTAACGTAACGTAACGTAAGGTAATTTATGTCTGTATGTCTGTATGTCTGTATGTCTGTATGTCTGTATGTCTGTATGTCTGTATGTATGTCTGTCTGTCTGTCTGTATGTATGTATGTATGCATGCATGTATGTATGTATGTATGTATGTATGTATGTATACATATGTATCCGTTTTGAAGCACCCAAATTTAGGACAGTTGGCTGCCAGCTCCCGTGCATCCTCTCCCAGCGTATCTGACTCGGAGGTTGAGGCGGTTCCCCGCAATCTTGAGCTGCAGGGTGTCGTTTTCATGGGGTGATTGTTAGATGTTGAATGTTGAGGATCCGTTGTGATGTGGCCTGTGCGTTTGGAGTTTTGCATTGAGGTTTTGGAGAGTTCAGACTTCGTGATGTCGAAGTAAGGGATCCAGTTTTAGGCCCAGCCGGGGAGCCGGGGAGCCAGGTGAAGACAGCCGAGGCCTTCCGAAATTGGTTGGAAGATCGACCGAGCATGTTCCGCCTCTCAGCTGTGAGGCGACTCTGAGCTGTTTCCTCCGGAATATTTGTGAAGTTAACAGGTTGAATTGTGAAGGATATGGTGTGTAAATTCAACCTGTTTGCATCAATATTTGGGAGGCAAAGTCGGCAAAGTGTTCAAGTCTTGTGCCCTTTCGCGTCCTGCAACCTCTTGGATCTCTTGGCACCAGGTGTGTGGACACTGGCATTGCTTGGGATTTTCCCTTGACCAAGAGCGAAAAGCGGGAGCTCCTCCTGATGTATGTGGCCCAGGGTGAGAAGCCACTTGATTCAACCCTGGTTTGATGCAGTCTTGGACAATGTAGTCCTAAGATGTCCTAAGGACATATATAATGAATCATTACAACGGACCCTGAAGGGCCAACACAATTTACCCTTAGAAGATTTTGAGGCAGTATTGTTGTCTGTTGAACGTGAAAAGAGCAGATGCCAAGGCTTTGTGTGTGTCAGTTTGAGACACCCAGATAGCATCAGATAGCTGATATTTGGACCATTGAAGCAGCCGTTTTTCAGGATGGCGGAGGAGAGTGCCTGTCAGGTGGGGAGTCCGAAAGTAACTGTGTCACTGTCAGTAAGCTTCACTGCGGCGTTGTTGAACTCGTTTTTCAGTGCTGAATTTTCCATAATTTTCAATTTGGATCCATTTGGAGGTTTCCGTTTAGTCATGGGGGTACCCCCAGTTATCATTTTTTTTGATTTTCCAATATTTTCCATGAAATAAGCATAAACCATCTAGCCATAAAGGGGTACCCCCAGACGGGAGTTGAGGCGATGGACCAGGAGCGACGGCAACGGAAGAGCTTGGAATCTGCCAGGGCTGCTCTGGCAAGGCGAGCCCGGCGAGCCCGGCGAGCCCGGTGGATCCCATGGATCCCATGGATTTCATCAAATTGGCCTTTGGTGGATTGGCTCATAGGTATGCCGCAAAGATCTTTCGGTGAGTAGATAAAAAGAAGAGGGGGTATCTGACAGATTTGAAAAGTCTTTGAGAAGCGAGAACTGGGTCGGAAGTACAACCCATGCTTCATTTCGGCGTTTCGCGAAGCTTCAGGCTGTTCGGTTGCCCGCTTGGGCAAGATGAAAATCACCTGCAGTTTGGATTGGTTGTTTCGAAACTTACTTTCCTGACAGGGAACAGGGAGTTAAGATGATTTCATTCTGCCAATTTCACCCTCTGGTGAAGTGTCTCTGCATCACCCTGGCCGCGTCCAGGATGCGGAAGAAGACGTGCCGACGCAGCAAGCCTGGACGACGAAGCCTCGGTGGTGTGAATTTCTGACGCGCCGCGGCCCCCTCGCTACGTGAAATGATTTGGCAATGCGACGTGCCATGTGCCACAAAGCCGGGCCTTCACAGGCAGACTTTTGGGTGATTTGTTTTACTTATTGGGTAAGCCCATCGCTGATTGGATCGGATACCATTGTTTCATATGTTTCATGGCCAGGTGCATGTGCCAATCAATTCTCCCAACGACTTGGATTGGCACTTGCAAAATGGGCATGTGCCAATCAATCGGTTTGCAAGATAGGTTTGAGTGAGAAGTTCCCAGTTGCAGAAGGTTCTGACAAAAAATCTGCAAAAACAACCTCATCAGGGGAACTCAATTATCCTGAGACTATAAGCTTCTTTTGAAGTCATGTACAAGCGTTCCTGGACAAACCATTTCTGCTTGTAGGTTCCCCATTGTCTTCGTTTATGAATGTTTTTTTGGGTCACATCTATGACCGGAAATGCAAACTGTTGATCCATAGCTGGGGACATGATTTGATCTGGGAGCTGAGGAACCGACACATTTTTATCCATTGCTATATTGCTGCTAAAGGTAGATACATCAGATATTACATATTGCATAGATGCCTCTGTCTATCTTTAGCTATCCGGCAATGAACATATCTATTCAACTATACGACACTGAACATATGTATACATATGTATGCACATATATGAACGTTTACGTTCTAAATATTCAAATGTATATGCATATGTATATTGTATGTAAAAACGCAGCAATGTACAACCAAACTATGTATACCACGCAGTATGGAACCTGAAATGCAGCCCTGAATCTAGAGCCAGGCCCTGCAAACTTTGTAGAGCTGGGCCTCAGACATGGATGACCCGCAAGCGTCACGGAGATTCGTGCCGTGATCCGGATCAATGGATAAAATCCATAGTTTCGTGTAGATTTTCCACCATACCCAGTCATTGAATACAGAACTTGCCAATGGGCCATGTCTCTACAAGAAATGCACCTCAATGTAAAGGATCATCCAGCGCACAGCCGCACTGCGCCACTGCGGCCGTGCCATTGCCACCGCAGATCTTAGATGCTTCGGCCAATGTACTATTGTGATATCTGAGCCAATGCGAAAAAAGATGGCGGCGCTGGCTGCTGTGCAGAGCTGTGCAGAGAAGCAGATGAACAAGAGTCTTGAAATCCCCTAAAATCCCCAAAAATCCCTAAAATCCCCTAACATCCCCTATATTGAATCCCCTAAAATCCCCAAACATAGCTTTGAAGTCTGTGGCTATACGGATTGGACACTGCCCAAAGCTCTGTGGCTCGCAGTGGAAGCCCACGGCGCCCTGCGGCCATGCCGAAGCAACTCGCCATTTTTTGTTTTGGCGGGTAAAAATCATCATTTTTGTTAGTTAAATGATGCTTACATGAAAACTAAGATCAATGTTTTGTCCCCACCGTGATGAGGGTCTCTAGATTTTATCTGCACTGTCTTTCTACTGCGCCCACCATATCCACTCTCGCAGTCCTTTCGAATTGCACTGGATCTCACCGCAATCCCGATGTACTCAATATGTCAGAATAAATGCGAGTGTCAATCGATGTGCTAGAATACCTGTCAGTTAGTCTGACACTTAACCTGCTTGTAAATGTGCCAAAAAGATGTCACTACATGTACCCGTGTATATACATATATATATATATAATACGCGGCGTCAAGCAGCAGTGGGCCGAAGGGAAAAAATATAATTATATATATAATTATATACATATATGTATATATATATAATTATATACATATATAGTAATTATATATATATATATATATGTATATATGTATATATATATATGTATATATATGTATATATATATATGTATATATGTATATATGTATGTATGTATATATGTATACATGTATATATGTATATATGTATATATGTATATATGTATATATGTACATATGTATATATGTACATATGTATATATGTATATATGTATATATGTATATATGTATATATGTGTATATATATATACACATATATATATATATATATATATATATATATCAGGACATTTTAATGTCAACGCTTTTCTGTGGGTGGAGTAGTTGTATTAAAAAAAGGATCCATTTCAACCCCATTTCAACCGATTTAATCATTGTTGCCCGCCAAAAAACCTCAGGTGGCAAGGCGGGGATGGTAGCAATGGCAACTGGCAGGAGGAGGGGTTACCAGGGCGGCCATGCAGGTTGGAATGTTGGGGATGCCCAACCACAAGGCAACCACAAGGCCTTTGAAATCCGCCCATTTCTTTGCATTCTTTTGTTGTCGAGAGGAAAAGATCCATTTCTGCTTCGATGCTCAATCAGCCCTTCAAATCGATTTTGGTGGCTTCACATGTGGGTCTCCTTGGCAAGGGCACGGGACTTGCAAACTCGCTCTCCTGAACTACACTAGTTTTCGCCTCGGATTCTTTTTGACATGATTGCCTTCCTGTAAACATTGACCAGATGGGCTTGTGCACATGATGAACCAGTCAAAATTTAAGGTCCCACAACCTTTAGACCCAACACTTGTAAACTCCGTAAACTCCCGGCATCTCCCAACTTGGTATCCAACACTCAAGGGCGACCCATCGCAGGATCAGCTGTCAGCTGCGGTCACCCAGGCGTGTCCACCTGGGATGCCATGGGACAGGGGACCACCAGGGGACCACCAGGGGACCACCAGGGGACCACCAGGGGACCACCGGAGTGGTTCCCGGACTAAGGCCTTGGAGCCGATCCTTCCACAGGAAACCGAATGGGACCAGGCCAAACTTGAGAAGAGGTGCGGCGTGACACGTGTCACACGACGTGACACACGAGCTGTCGATGTCCATGGAAGACATCTGCTGGGTTTTGTTCTCCAGTTGTGTACTTTGTTGGAACTCAGCTGTGGGAAGGGCACGCCTTTTAGACCTGGGGCAGGACTTTCATGCAAACACACCTGGTTTTGGCATGTAGTTCCTCGTTGCACAGCATCTCTTTCACATCATTGGACACAGCTTATCTAAAGCAAACCTGAATTGACATATGAGCGTGTCTGAAAATGCGGTCTACAGGTTTCATTGGGAAAAAGATGATAAACCGGTGGAGTTGGAGTATACCACATTTTTGCACACTCCCACCACCAAATGATGTTCGTCATAATTTTATGTCGGCGTCCGTACTCATTTTTTGTTTCCGCATGGTCCTGCAGTTGCATCAGAGGTGTCATCACAGGTCGTGTGTCTCTGGCCGCCCTGGCCTTGTCTGGGATCGCAGGGTGAAGCAGTACTTCCGCAATGCAGCAAAAAACCTGGAATTCCATGTGAAGCCATGGTTCGGAGGCCCAGTCTCGACGGTTGCTTCAATGATTGGGAGCTGGGAGCTGATGATGGCGGCATGGGCGTGGCTCCAAGGCAAGAACTCGTCGAGGAATATGCCGACCACGTTTTTGCCTCTCTCTTTCAGGCACCGGGCTGGGCTCGGGGCTGGTCACTTTCGTGATGTCCGGTCATTGCATGGCGCAATGATTGAACCAGCATCCGACATCGTCCAACCCTGATCAGAGCCGGTGATTTCTGGCAGGCATTGAAGGAGCGACCATGGCTGATGCAGGTGGATTTCCTGATGGTCGGGCTTCCAAGGAAGCAGAGCTGGGGATGGCTGGGGATGGCTGGATTCCTAGCCACGTGGGTCCCCCGCGTGGGTCCCCCTGGTGGAACGTATTTCAGGTGGTCGATGCTGGAGTGAAGGAGCTCTTTCCGCCCTACATCCTGCAGCATGTTGGGGCAGCTTAATGACAGCCTCAGGGTATAGCTTGGACAACCTGTTCACAGGAGAATGTTGTTGTGTGTTGTGTCAGGAGGATCAAAAAAGCATATGGACTTCGGGGTTGTTTGGATTTTATTCTTTGAGCAGCTGGCAAGTGGCTTGCAACTGTTTAGTCGATGATTTATGGTTGTTTTGTACGTCTTTTCTGCTTCCAATCATGGTATATGTTGATTACTGTTGATTGAACGATGAAGATCTTGCAGGAGAACCAAGTGTTTCCAGGTGGTTCTTCCATGATTTTCTTTTCCGCCCGTTGACCAACTGAGTAAACTCCATCGGTTGAAATCTGTGGATCAGGTGCCGCAGGTGGTCTTTGAGCAGCAGGTGCCGAGGGCATTGGGTGGGGATTCAACCTGTTAATCTACCAGTAGAACCAACAGATCGCAGGACAATGCGCCTTGGAAAGTGCTTATTTTATCTTATTTTCAGTATCAACTGAGAGGTGTTGCAGAGCTTTTATCGATTTTGATTGCAATTCCCTATCGGAATTTGTGGACTTTTCCCCATAGACCTCAGGATTGGGAAGGATTTTTTTGCCTTGGGATTGGGCTGGAGCCCATTTTCCACCACAACGGTGTACCACAACGGGAACCCGCCCAGAGGTTCTAAGTGCCCACGATAGAGCCTTTGAGGAGCCTTTTAGGGGAGGATGGCGATGGCCACATGTTGATGTTTGTTGTAAGCAGATTTCAGCCATTCTCTTTGTTTTCACCCCTTGGAAACCGCTTGCTCTGTCTTGCATCTCTTTGCAAAGTAGAAACACGTCGGTCAGTTTCTGTGTCGCGCCGAACACGAGAATGACCCAGCAGTTTTGACTCAACCTTGCATAATCATCAGGATTTTAGTGCAAAACCCCTGGAATACTGCACTATTCCATGAGTATTGGCCACAATCCCTCTAAATTATAGTCTTGATTACCTGATATCATTCTTTATTGCTTGAATTTCCAGTGAGTTGAAGTGAGTTAAGTACTAAGATGTACTGAGTACTCTGGAGTTATCAGTTAGAAGTTCCAATTCCACTCCGGTGACGCTGCCAGGAGCAACGCTTTGCTCCGATGCTGTGGGATACGCTCTTCGAGAGGGTGAGCGGCCGTGGCGCTGTGAAGAGACATGTGGGTACTGGCAAAAGCTATATATATATAAGTTTTTGCACATACATAGATACATATATATATATGTATATATGATCACATATGTATACATGTAACTATATATATATAATATTTAGACATAGCACTTTCCCTTTATTTATGATTAGGATAATCTTCTACCCTTTTCACAGACACCCACCTGTTCACTCCCATCACTCGTGACTTGGCTGCCAGATCGAAGACAAGCAACAGAAGACCCGAATTTACAATGCCATGGAGGCAAGTGACCATCCCAGTTCACTGGCCATGGGAGAATTCTGAACATCACAAGCCATCTGCCACCACTGGCAGCTGATGGGATTTTCATGTGATTTTGACCATCTCCAGGGGTTTTGGGCGACATCAAGTTTCTTGCTCTGGTGGGAAAGTAGCGGCTGCATTCCCGACCATCAGAGATACTTCAATGACTTTGGGTATTGTTGTTTTTAGAGACACATTTTTCCGGAAAGTGTTCTCATCATCGACATGGTCTCCAGGCAGCCAGAAAAGAAGCTGCTACAGTGACCGGCGAGGGAAATCCAGTGACTTGGCTCCTGGGAACTTGTGACCACTCAAGGATTGTAAGCTTGGTAGATTTGTCACCTGAGGTGGAGGATTTTGTGAAGGCTTGGGTGGCCTGTTCCTTGAGGGAGGTGCAGTCCCAATGTGCGGGTCCCTGGGTTCACAGCGCTTTGACAATGAATTCAATTGGTTTTACAGAAGGGAAAGACTTCGGAAAGACATATGGTAAATACCAGCCCCTGTGAATCTCCTCGATGCTAAGGCAACTTACCACTGGAGCAAGCTCTTCCGTGAGGGTGCCTAGGAAGGTTGCAACCCCATTGGTAAAGGATCACAATCTAAACATGGTGGATATTCCATGTTTGACATTGACTGAAAGGCCAGGTTGGGGGTCGGTGTTATTTACCAACACCAAGATTCTTGAATCGACTTTGGTGCAGCAAAGCCAAGGCTATTCACAGCAAACAATCGCCCATGACGTCCTAAGGTCAGACCTCTGCCGGGACATTTTCCATGCCCTTTTTGAGGCGCCTCCGAGCGCTTCGCCACTGCTGGGGTCAAAAAGACCTGAACCAGCAAGCTTCGGTAGTACCAGGACAATATTATAGACAGTTGGGTTCTATAGTCTATTTTTTTAATTTTTTTTTCTTGCTTTTCAAGCACAAAAATGAGTGCGGCTGGTCTCGACTTTGCATAACTGGCATAACTTTGACGTGGTGAGCCAGTACTGATTCCGGGGAGGCTGGTGCTTTGCCTCTGCCATTGACGCAGGAAGGCGGGACATGGGACGTCTCACCACGATTCGTGAGACTAGGGATGCCCATCCAGATGCATGCTGAACCTCTCGTTCCACAAATGGTGGTGAAAGATGTTTGAAGTGGTATGACCAGTACCATTGTCATCTTTTGTTTTTTGCTTTTTCCAACTACTTCGTGAGATTTTGGCTCATGATTTACCACTTGTAGGACATGAAACAATCACTGTTTTTGGTTATCCCTGCACCCATTGTACCCCCAAATACAATCAACTCACGTGGTATGCAGCGTTAAGGCCAACCACCAGATGGCCTCATCATCATAGATCAGGCGATCGAGGCCAGAACTGGGGACCCAGCAGGTTGATCCATGTCTAGTTTTGACGCAGGTCCCTAGTTTTAGTTATGCCGTTTCCGGTAGCATCCACCGAGTCAGCAGGGTCATTCAGAAAAGAATGAACATCAAACAGAGGTCACAATTGCTATATAATCCCATATAATCCCTATCCCATACACCTCCCGTACGCTCAAAATATTGTTTTTTTTTTTGTCCACGTTTTTGGCAATTTTGGAACCCAGAAAGCCCAAAACACTGGGATTTTCCTGGTTTGCACAAACATCGTATTTCGGGGGTGAAAACTGGCCCCCAAATCATGGTGGCGAAGATTTTTCGAGGGTGGATGATCCGCCCTAAGCAGATGTTTTTTTTGCCAAAGATATTTCCATCAGCTGAGGTTTGCTCTGGAAGGTCCAATGGTATCCAACAAGTAATATTCTAATGTATGTACGGTACTGCAGAATTGTCAAGATTGTATGTGTATGGTGAGCCTGAGTCAGGCGTCTTGATGAGATGGGTATCCGTTGGCTATCTGACATGTCGGGCAATGTTTGATGCTGCGTTCATCCCATTTGTTAGCAACAGCTGTCTTTGCCCTTGTTCAACTTACTTATCTCGGGTAATTTTGTGAAATATGCACGTTTCGCTGCGGTTCCGTCGGCGCATCATCTAGTGTGGTTGGACATACCATAAGCATCCCATACTGCTCCCATACGAGTGAGGTATATACCTGGTCTATACCTAGGCTTAAGGTTGCCCCCATAAAGAGGGTACACACTTGAAGGGTACCTCAAGGTTTCCCTGATTATACATTATACTATAATATACTATACATATGTAAATACCCATATGTATATATATATAATATTTATAGATATCCAAAGCCAAAGGTATCAATCTGTGTATCTTGGTGATCCCATTGTCAGCCAAGGATGGCTACGCAGGGACCCTGCCAGTGCCTCCAGCACCTGAGAAACCCAAGAGCGCAGGCGATCCGGGCAACCCCAAGGTAAACGGTTGGAAAAGGACTGGAAAGTGGTTGCTGAATGGGACATAATGGGCAGATATATATATATATATATATATGATTATATATGTATGTATATATATATAAAGAGTACATAAACATATATATAGATATACATATATATACATATATACATATATATATACACATACACATTATATGCATGTATATATATATATACATACACATAGACATACACATTATATGTATATAATATTATAAATGTATATGTAATATCCTTTGGCATCCACTATCCACACTATCCAGGAGGATCATCCCACGGATCATAACTGAACAAGCATGGTGAATAAGTCTCCCATCCTTGGGTTATGCCAGTTAAAATTGGGCCATAACTGCCATAACTCCACTTATTACTTAGTTCCTAAGTGGGGCGAACCTTCATCAACCACCTCAATTCTTGAGATAGTTAATCTCCATAAGCATCTATCAACCGCCCAAGTTTTGGTAGTTTTCAAGGACTGATGCAACTGCAGTTGCTGCGGTCTTTTCAGCAGGTTTTCCAAACACAAAAGCATCTTGAGCTGCTCGTAAAAAATTACAAAAACCTCCTTGAGTTTTGGAGTATCCTCTGGTAAACCAACATAGCTATGGAAAATGGACCATTTATAGATGGTTTACCTATTAAAAATGGTGATTTTCTATGGCTATGTTAAATTATCAGAGGGTATTCCATAATTTGAGAAGTCGGTGAATCCACCATGAAAAATTCTATGACAAGTCACCCTGGCCCAGGAAAAAGCAAGGCATCACCAGGAAACGCATACCGTGCGCCCTCCAGTAATGTCTACAAGGAGCCCAGTCTTGGATGATCAAATTTACTGAGTTGGTTTGCAGCAACGAAGTTCTGTGGGGCCCAAAATGGCTTGGCTTAGCAATCCTTGACGTTAGCATATTGGGGACTCCAGATTTGCACGCCTACTGTATACTGATCGAAGGGGCAGTACTCAACCAGGGCCATGTGACACAGGGGGTACTGAGACCGGGTTATCAACACAGTCGATTCTTGAAGCAAGTTTTGGTAGTGGCCATATAGCAGATATCGATGGACTTTTTTCATGCAAATGAATACACATGACTCATCATATAAGGTCCTTTAGTCGAGAAGTAGTGCTGGATGATCTGGATGGTGAGTCTGTTGGTTTTTGAGTTCATTGATCCTCAGCCATTCTTTCGATCCAAAGTTAATTCTCGCCATCCACATCACCTGAAACCTCTCATGACTCATGGAAACTGCCGCAGGAGCCTCGAGTTGCGCCCAGCGTTGCCTATGGCAATACCTTCAGCCAGGGCAAGGGCGGCAAGGGCGGCAAGGGCGGCACGGGCGCCCTGCGCCCAGCCACGTTCAAGGGATTTGCCCCGGCGAAGGCTGCAGGGCCCAAAGGTGGCACGTTCAATACCTTCAGTGGGGAGACCTGGAAAAACGATGAAACATTCATTGGATTGGTTTTTCCCGGGAAAATCTACAGGAAACCATAGTTTTTACATGTTTTTACCATTCAATATGGGGGTTTCCTGTACATTTTCCCGTAAACCAATCTAATGAAACATGTCAAACATGTCATGTCCAAGATTTTTGACTAAAATGGTTACTCGTCGATGAACGTTGCATCAGTTCAATTCGAACAAACTGCAAGAGCACGTGACAGTGGATGTTTTGCTCTCATGGTCATTTTTGTAGTCTTGCCATGTCTTGGCGCCCCAACTCTTACAAGATATTCATGCACTTTCATGCACTTTCATGATCTTTCAGAAGTCCGTCAGTCGAATCACCGTGCCTGGTGGCATTGGCGGCACGGCGTTGCGGTGCTTCCAGGTCAAAAGAGACCGCTGGAGCAGAGCTTCGAACCCAGCGGTGGAGGCCACCGTGTGCTCGGTGCGGGTACACACCGTGTCCAGCTTCAATGTTTGGGCTGCCTTGTAGTCACTGTATGTCACTGTAGTCCCTCACTTTTCCAGGATGATCAACTATGCCCATGATCAACTGCAAGTCAACTCCTTTTTTTTGGGGATGCGGAGAAATTGCAGCAATCAAGAATCAATACCAGTCAGATTCAAGTTGTTGAAACATCCATTTCTTTCTTGTTTCGTGTTGCCCAAATCCCCCATTTTTTAAGATCGTCTGCAGCATGGCCAAGGAGGAAAAGCCAATGGCGGAAAGTTTGCTCCGGCGAAGTGGCTGGGGGACCAAAGGCCCAAAGGCTGCCCAAGCCCAGGAAGAGAGCAGCGCGAACAATTTTTTCTGGGGACTCTCATGGACTCTAGAATCCACTCAATTTATTGATTTCAAAAGAATCCCTCCACTCTCTATCTCTCTTTCCTCTTTTTCAGGACCCCTCGCCTCTTCACAAGGGCAGAATTGTATTTGCAGTGCCAACTGCGGAGTCATTGGCTGTCTCAATGGTGCATAGTCCCAACCACTTACGCCACCAGTTCCTGGAATTCCCCCCGAAGTCCTTCATAGTCCGGGAGGTGTTTGAATGGGACATTTCACCACGTGACATTTCACCAACCCTTGGTGCACATCAAAAAAATCCCTTGGCAAAATTATGTCACTAGACAGTGGCAGATAGCCGTTGAAATGCAATGGCCGGAACAAGATTATGCATTCATCAGAACTCAGGCAGAAAACACAACAGCGTTGATCTCAGATTGTGAGCCGAAAATCAAATGCTGCAAAAGGACACGTTCACTGGACCATTTCATGCGAAAACTCCAGTAAAAATCCTGGTGCATCAGCGTCGCAGTTCGAAGAGAGTCTAGGAGTTGTCTTCTTCTGGGTTGTAAAGGAGCAGCAACTACCTTGCTGTCAATAGTTTCGTAATTCACGGGTGACTACCATGGTTCTTCAGAACTCTTGCAGCTCCACTTCGCTTACCAAAGCTGATGTTGGGGATTGCTGGAAGATAGTCCCACTGGATTTGTTCAGCCGGAGATTTGCCAAAAAAACAGCGACTTGGTCTCTGGCTTCCAGGCTACCAAATTTGGCGATGGGGAATACTCTATGCACACAGATGGAAGATTGCCTGGGCGACAGCAACAGCGTCAGCTGCCCAGATGTGGGCCAATGTGAAAGTGTCACAGGTACATGTATTGAAATATACAAATGATGATTGTGATGATGATGATGATGATGATGTTGTTGTTGTTGTTGTTGTTGATGATTATGACGATCATGATGATGATCATGATGATGCTGGTGGCGGCGGCGGTGGTGATGATATACAATGATATACACATTAAACCTATACACCCGCACCTGCCTCGAGGCCCTGGTCCAGCACTTGGTAGGGGAACCTGGGTGGTGTTGGGGCCATGGTCAAGTTGTGTCTCTCTGTTGCTCTGTTGCTGAACGTTCTACTTTCCTTTGAGGAACAGTATGTTTTATCCCATGCACACGCCGCCTCGGCTGCCTCATCATTTCTAAGTTTGGACAACATGACAAACATATAAACCATAGAGATGTTGTCAGTATAAACCATACCCATAAATAAATATATATATGTATAATGTATACATGATATATACTATATAAACCATACAATCATCGGGTATGGTTGATGTTATGCACCATGGATGTTTGGAACGTCCCAGATCCGTGGCACAAATCCCACCAGGACAACAATGTCCCTGGTGATATTTATTGCAGGGATCTCAGGGGACGGAGCATGCCTGTGCAGCTACAGATGATTGTGAATACCAAGTTTAATACCAAGTTTAATGCCATGACCAATGTGATAAGCCCATGAACCTCGATTGACTATGATTAACTATGATTAACTTGCATAGTTTATAACAATCCCCAAATGGTAAGTTATTGGCTATTGTATATCATTCTATCTATATCTATTCAACGTTCAACAATCTAACATCTAATCTTCAACATATAATATAATAATAGCTAACAATTTTACCTACATCTAGTTTAACATAACTCATATCTAATAGACATACATGTTTGATGACCTTGTATATGTGACATCTATATGTCTATCTCTATCTATGTATATACATAATATATAATATAATATAATATATAATATATAATATATAATATATATAATATAATATATAATGTATAATATATAATATATAATATATATAATATAATATATAATATATAATATATAATATATAATATATAATATATAATATATAATATACAATATATAATATATAATATATAATATATATAATAATATATAATATGTATGATAATATCTAATATATATATATATATCTAAACATTCAGAGGTTTACCTTACCTCAGCCATCTGGCCAAAAGTGCGGCTGCTGCCGCAGGGACATAGGGCCGCTTTGCATGGTAGCGCGCTCTGGTGCTGCCAGGCAGAAGGGCCTGGTGGCGACATCCGGGCCGCTGATCCTCGGTTCGAGCACTTCGGCCAGGAGACAGAGCCCTTGGAAGTGGAGGGTCTACATCACCGTGGGCTTGGCGGTGATCGGGCTTGCAGCCTACTTCGAGGCCTACCTGGTGGTGATTGGATTGGTTGTGGGCGATGGCAACTCTGGAGGAAGTGGTGACTGCGATGCAACAGCTGCAGCAACAGGTGACGCAGACTGCAGCGGAAAATCAGCAGCTTCGAGACCGGCTGACGACCTTTGAGCAGCAGCAACAGTTCCACTCGCCGACCCATGGAGGTGGAGCCCAAGCGGTGCAAGTTGGAGAGGTTCTGGCAGCATAGACGGATCTGCCGGAAGCCCTTACGAAGATGAGCCGCCCGAAGGGCCTGATCGACAGTCGAGGACTTGGCCGACCTCAAGTTCTTGGAGATGACGCCGAGAACAAGTTCAGACCGTGGGCCATCAAGCTCGAGGACTACGTGAGTGGGGTCTTCGGTGGAAAGAGCAGAGAAGCTCTTGAATGGGCGGCCTCGATGGACAAAGAGGTGACGCAGACTGAGGTGGACAACAACTTCGGCATGGCAGCTGACCTGAATGATGTTTGGGAGGAGGTGGATGAGTTCTCCAAGCAGCTCTACACGGTGCTGAGGGCCACAACAGAAGGAGCTCCATTCGACCTCATCGAGAACGTCCCGACGGGCAATGGCTTGGAAGGATGGCGCCTTCTTCACAGGCGCTTTGACCCATCCACAGGGTCTCGTAAGCGGGTCATGCTGCAGGCTCTGACGAACCCTGAACGGGCCACCTATGACACCTTGCAAGGGGCGCTGGAGAGGTGGAAAGCCCTTCGGTCACGATATGACCGCAAACGTGACCAGTTTGGTGCACGTGAGGCACTTCCCGAGTCTTTGGCCATGAACGCCATGGAGAAGCTGGTTCCGAAAGAGTTGGAGACGCACCTCATGCTGAACTACACGAGGTTTCGGAACTTCGACGAGATGGAGCAGGAAGTTTCCAACTACATGGAGGCCAAGACCGGAAGTCGCCTGACCATATCAAGCAACTTTGCCAAACCGACATCATCATCAGGTGCGACCCCTATGGACGTTGACTCTTTGGTCAAAGCAGTTTCCGGAAGTATCAGTTCGCTGGTGGTGTCAGGGGGCAAAGGTCGGAACAACAACAAGATGACCCAGAAGTTCGAGGGCACCTGCGACAATTGCGGGAAGGTTGGACACAAGCGTCGTGACTGCTGGTCCAAGCCTGGTGGAAAAGGAGGAGGAAAGCCTTCATCCCCGAAGTCTTCTCAGGGGAGCCCCAAGAAGTCTGATGGAGTCAGGTTCAACGGCAATTGCAACTACTGTGGGAAGCAGGGGCATAAGAAGGCCGACTGTCACTCCTTTCTGAACAAGGGCAAGGGCAAGTCCAAACAGTCCCCCAAACAAGGGAAGGGGAATGCCAACTCAGTGGAGCAGGCCGAGCCGGAGCCACCGAATGATGCAGGTGGTTTGGACATTTGCACCCTGGAGCTGAAGACACCATCTCCGAACCCTGAACGAGGACCTGGTGGTGGTACTTCTTCCTCGACGAGGCCTACATCGACGGCAAGACCATCGACAGGGCCGAGAAGGGTGGACTTCGTGACGGTGCAGTGCGAAGATCACTCCATGAGGGAGGCAAGCAGGAGCCGAGATGACAGTCAATGGAGCGAGTCGAGGAGCAGATCGCCAGCGAGATCCCGGCAGTCTTCGATGACCCATGTGAGCGCACTGGAAGATCAAGGTTGGATTCGGTGCAACTTCGACACTGGAGCCTCTGTCACAGTCTTCCCAAAGGAGCTCTATGACGTTGAGGAGCACTCGGACCTGAAGATGAGAACGGCATCAGGTGAGATCATCAGAGGCTATGGGGAGGCAACCATCAGGGGGGTTGACACTCAGGACATGAGGAGGAAGATCCATGGAGAGGTGACGGATGTCCACAAGATCTTGGTGAGTGCATCGAAGGTGCACGGCAAGGGCTACTGCTCATGGCTGGCAAAAGGTGGAGGAGACATCATCCCCTTGTCGCACCCCATCTACAAGGCATTGGAGAGAGCCTATGTCGAGGCAGTCCAGGAACATGGACGAGAAGGGCTCATCCCAGTGCTGGAGGAAAAAGGGGTGTACAATTTCTACTTGAAGGAGGAGCGCACTGCAGACGGTGTGAACTCCCCTGCAACTCCACCTGGCAACCCGACAGATGATCAAGTTTGGCGACGATTTGGAGATGCGCCGATGCCTGCACTGAGGTCCCCATCAAGGTCAAGGTCGAGAGATCATGTTTGTGCGGTAGAAGATGCGCCGCAAGGAATCTTTGAGGATCCCCCAGAAGATGAACCTGGTCGTGGAGTCGCTGAAGGCGTTGAAGCAAGGCCAGCAAATCCTGGGTGGACTCCTGTTTCACCTACACCTGCCGAGAGGGCAGAACATGAAGCCAGTGGACACGCAGTTTACAGGTCTTGGTGTGAGGAGTGCCTGGCTGCGACTGGCCGATCACAACAACATCGCCGTGTTGATCATTCAGGAGACCTTGTCGACACGGTGGTGATGGACTATTTTTACCTTGGAGAAGCCGAGGGTTCAAAGCCGCATTTGGTGGCTTAGGATCGTCGCACTGGAATGATGCTGGCGACGGCGTTGGAGAAGAAGGGCGTCAATGATGGAGCAGCCCAGAAGATCTTGACCAAGTACCTGGAACTTCTTGGGTACCGTGAGGTTGTCCTCAAGTCTGACGGTGAGAGGGCATTGGTGTTCACTTCACTTCACTGCGCCTTCGGAGCTCCATCTCTGCCGCACCTGAGTGAAACCTAGCTCCACGGCGAGGCACAAGCAGGCACTTACAATGGAACAAGACCTCAGTCGGCCGTGATCCACCTGGCCGCGCTGGCGCCAACGGAGCGCCAGACAGGGTGCTTCACACGGTGCCTGGGGATCCAGCGCACCCAACATAGTGTTAATCGGATGCCGCACAAGAACACTGCACCTAGAGTGAGATCGGAAAATCAAGAACTGAAAAGCAAGGATGCCCAGCAGCACCCGAGCACAAAAGTATGGAAAACCAAACTGCCTCACTGCCCGCTCAAAAGGTGGTGGTCATCACTCAACGCCGGGTTCACCTATAATCTCTTGAATCTGTCTTTCAAGTGCACCACGAGGAGCTGGGCCATCTTTGCGCAAACCTCCACTTTTTTCCATGCCATCCTGCAAGACAGTCAGCACATCACTCAGAGCACCTGGAGCGACCGAGATCTGGAGACGAACCTTGGTCTGGTCATATACTTTGGACACTCGACAGTAGAGGACCTGATCGCTCAGCACAGCCGGATCGGTGACAGAATCACAATGTTGCTTCACCATGGCACGCTTCTCCTCAGACAGGGCTTCGTCTTTCAAGGCGGCTTGGGTCAAAGCAGCCCATACCCACGAAGACGGCTGTCCCAGGGTGTGATTCTTTCCCGCAGCGCGAGCTCTCTGCGCATATGTCTGGCCGGCGGCCGAAGCAGCCTGAGCATACGCACCCTCCTTGGCCAGGATATAGGTGACAAAAACTGCACTTTCAAGGTTGCGGCAGACCTGCGTTCTTCAACGTCAGGCGAGCCACAGCAGTCAAGAGCTGCTCATTGTCCTTGGAGCTTCGGCCGGTGCGAGGTCGCACCTGCCGTTCAGCACCTGCACCATTGGGGGCGGCGCCGAACCAAGAGTCCATGGCTGAAGGCTCGGTCTCTACTTTCCAACTACTGCTGAGCCGCAATGAGGTACTGGTGCAAAACATGTTGGCCAGCGGGGACGTGGCCCACCACATGTGTCTGCAAGGTTTCCAAATCAACTGCTTCATGAGGACAGACTGGACATCGAAAAGTTGGAGGGGGACGCAATTGCTCCACCATGCCAGCAGCATTCCCCCCTTGTCGAGGGCAGTGCCCTTTTTTGACACGGGCATGAGCATGACGTTTGGCAATCTCAACGGAAGCAAAGATCCTACGACACCACGGGCACTGATTGCAAACCACAATTTGTCGTGCAGTGATGCGCACGCCATGAAGGCGATGTCTGTGTGTGGAAAGGGCCGTTGTGGATTGCGCGGTGTAGCCACACTGTGCCCCATCAGCACCAATCCAGTCACAACGAAGTGGAGCCGGACCCACAGGCGCCACCTCATCTGCATTCTCCTCTGGCGCAAGTCCAAGCGCTGCCAACTCCTCTCTGTATTTACGCACCAGCAGGGTCCTGATAGGAAGATTGACAAACAAATCTTTGCAAGGATGAAAAAAAATCGACAGTGGCTGGTCAGCCACCAAATTTGGCTCACCCAACTTGTCCAAATCTTCCACCAGTTCCCGCAGCCATGGGTTTGCAAGAGCAGTGACTCTCCCATCCACCCCAATAGGCGGCCCATTTTCCCAGCCATATTGTCCAAAAACTGTGGCCAGTAGCGACACATTGTCGCCAGGGTGCCGGGCGATGCTTTGCCACCAGAGAAGACGGCGGGCTCGGCGCTCCCAGGCAGGCGGAAAGATTTGCAAAAGTTCAAACACAGCCGAATTTGACAAGCTGCGATGGTGGCCGTGAGCATCTTCGTGTGGCTTGAGGCAGGCACGTCCTTGGCAAAATTTTTGAGCCAGAGCGGCAAGCACTCTTCCAAGTCGGACATTGTCACCATCATGAGTCTGCAGAGTTTCAATACCTGAGTACAAAGGAGACACCACCATAGCCAAGAAGACCAACCGCCGTTGAGATGCAGCAACCCCGCGCGTGAACCAAAACTTGCGCATGATAGGGCATTGGTGTCGCTGAAGACATTGGCTGCGCGGAATGCCAAGTGCGTGGCCCGGGCAATCAATGAGGAATCGCCCGTGGGAGACTCAAAGGCGAACGGTGAGGCTGAGGCTGCAGTGAAGGAGGTGAAGTGGCGCATCCGGGCAATCATCATGACCTTGGAGAAGAAGCTAAACACCAAGATCCCGGAGGGCCACCCTTTATTGACCTGGATCCCCAGGTATGCAGCTGAGCAGTCCAACAGGTTCAAGGTTGGGCATGATGGACGCACCCCAGAAGAACGTCGGACTGGCAAGAAGTGGATCCGACCTATGCCACTGTTTGGGGAGCGCATCATGATCAAGCCCGTGGGAAAAGGGAGACGTGGAGACCTCAAGAAGATGAAGCCAGCGAGGTTCTTGGGATGCCACAACCGCTATGGCAGTGTCCTTGGAATGACGGAAGATGGCGTGGTGGTTGGAAGCTCATACCACAGCCTTGCAGAGGAGGACAAGTGGCTTCCACTTGAAGCTGGACTACGTGGTTCGCCCTGGGATGTCAACGACTACATCAAGCAGATGCAGGAGGTTGGAGAGCAGATCCCAGCACAACTGCCGGTGGTACTACAACCTGCTCTACCAGCACTTCCAGGAGAACCAGTACGTGATGGAGCTCAAGATGGTGAGGAGGCTGTGGACAAGGGCCCATTGATCGGAGCCCCGAGTGCCAGCGGGCAGAAACCATCAGGGGGCAGAATGCGAGCTTTCCCAGTGAGAAGGGAGCATTTGGCGACCTTTGGAAAGACTCGAGAATGCCCTGGATGTGAGTCAATCACCAAGGGCTTGGGCTTCCAGCAGATCGCGCACAATGAGGACTGCCGAATGAGGATCAAACGATGCCTTGAGGAGAAGAACCAGGCTGAGCAGGAGAAGATCAAGAAGCAGAGAGAAGAAGATCAAGTGGTTGAGTCCAAGATGAAGTCGGCAGAGGATGTACCGGCAGAGGCATCTGGGAGCTCAGGTTCAGCAGCGCCTATGGCTGCTGAGGTGCCTTTGGAGGAGAGAGTGACCTCACCCAAAAGAAAAGGTGGTGAGGGTGGAGCTCAGGACATTGAGGACCTGTCCAGAGAAGTGGAAGCTGAGCTGGACAGCTCCTTGCGAGAAGAGAGCCTGAAGGCCATGGAGGCAGTGATTGGAAGCTATGAGGCAGCGAAGATCATCGCGGACATTGGTGCCATGGATGTGGTGGAGGTTTTTCGCCTGCCAGAATCAACCAGGAAGTTGAACGTTTTGGGCTACGACGTGGTGTGGCCATTGATCTGGAAGAGATGAAACCAGATGGCAGCCGCCATTGGGATCTTGACTTGGACGAGGACTTCCAGGAAGCCCTGAACCTCATCGTGATGGAGCAGCCGTTGCTGGTGACTTCATCACCCCCATGCACGACATTTTGTCCTTTGAGGAGGCTTTCGAATGGGAAGAGGGATCCATTGGTGGTGCAAGCTGAAGAAGAACAAGGCCGAGAACGAGTTCGACGAGCCATGCAGTGCTGCAAGACCCAGGCAAGTGTTGGAGGCTACTTCCTGCATGAACATCCTCGAGATTCCTCGAGCTGGAAGATGCCTGAAGTCGAAGAGCTGGTGAACCGAGATGACACATTTTTGGTACAGAGCCCAATGTGCAGATTCAACATGAAGATGTTGGACGATGATGGGAACGAGGCCTACGTCAGGAAAGAGACGCTATGGCTGACCAATTGCCGTGCAATGGCTGAGGAGCTGGAGGGCACTTGCGAGAACAAGCTGAAGGGCAAGGAGATCCACAGGCATGTTAGGCTGATTGGTGGACAGCGAGCACATGCAGCTCAGGTGTATCCTGTGGAGCTGGTGGAGGCCATCCTCAGAGGCCTGAAGTTGGAGATGAAGAGGAACCACAAGCTGAGCGCCGTGGAGGAGATGTTCTCTGGTCCATCTCCAGATGATGCTGTGGAGTGGGATCACGAGATGGACAATTTCATGGACGAGCTCTACATGGATGACGCTTCGGGGGCCATTTTGGATCCGAAGCTGGTGAAGCAAGGCCGGGCAGAAGAGTTGGAGTGGCTTCGCCGGGAGAAGGTCTACGAACGAGTGCCTCTTCGAGAAGCTGAGGGGCATGGGCCACTACTCAAGGTGAAGTGGCTGGACATCAACAAGGGCGATGCACTTCGACCCAAAGTGCGATGCCGATTGGTTGCCAAGGAGATCAAGAGGGCCAAGCCTAAAGAACTGCAACTTGGAGGGGCAGACACATTCTCATCTACGCCCCCAGTGGAATCAATGTTTTCCCTGTTGAGCCTCTTCATGACGAAGAAGGATGCCAAGGCGGACAAGCTGTTGGGCACCTGGGACATATCGAGGGCTCATTTCATGGGAAAGGCCGAGCGGGAGATCTACATGACCCTGCCGGAGGAGGACGAGGTCCAGGAGGGCGACACGGAGCCTATGGTGGGGAAGGTGCTTCGAAGCATCTATGGGACGCAGGATGCGTCAAAGATCTTCCAGCTGGACTACCAGTCGTGGCTTGGAAAAATGGGGCAACATTCTGTGCACTTTGCCCGTCTCTCTTCAAAGTGGAGAGCAAGGGATTGCTTGGACTGGTTCATGGAGATGACTTCATGGTGACCGGCAGCAAGGAGAGTTTGAAGTGGTTTGACAAGGTGCTGAACGAGCGCTACACTGCTCGATGGGAAGCTTTGTTGGGTGAGGCCGCGGAGAAGAACGAGACATTCTTCCTCAACCGTCTGTTGAGGTATGTGCCGGATGGAACGGATGATGGTGGGTGCAGGCTTGAGGTGGAAGCTGATGCCCGACATGCTGACATTATCATCCGGGCCTTCAACCTACAAGATGGAGGAAAAGGGTGTGATGTTCCTGAAGAGAAGGTCACTGAGAAGGACCTCATCGATGCAGAAAGACAGTCACCATTGGAGCCAGGTCAAGTATCCCAGTTCAGATCTTTGGTGATGCGATTGGCCTATATGAGCGTGGATCGACCCGACCTTTGTCACGTGGTGAGGACTTTGGCTTCAGCAATGAAGACACCGAGATTGTCTGACTGGATGAGGCTGAAGAAGGTGGCACGCTACTTGGTGAAGGTCCCCTACATGAAGAGGGTCTACAAGATGCAGAACCCGGAGACGCTCCACGTGAACGTCATGACGGACAGCGATTGGGCGGGAGACCTACGAACCCGCCGATCAACATCAGGTGCGGTGATCCGCATTGGAGCTCACGTGGTGCAGATCAAGTGCGCTTCGCAGAAGGTGGTGGCACTGAGCTCGATGGAGAGCGAGTACTACTCGATGTGCCGTGGCGTGACAGAGGCCATGTTCATCCGCAGTGTGGTGGACTTTTGGGGCATTCGCCCTGGGACGATGGTGCTGCGGGTGGATAGCTCAAGCGCCAAAGCACTTGCAGAGCGAAAGGGTGTGGGCAAGTCGCGCCACATTCAGGCGCGATACCTATGGCTCCAGGACTTGGTGTTCTCCAAGGAGCTCAACGTGCAGAAGACGCCAGGTCGCACGAACGATCCCGATCTGGTTACCAAAGTACAGACGCGAGCTGTGATGAAGGACCATCTCACTCGCATGAATTTTCACCCATGCGGTCGAGAAGGGCACAAGGGTTTGACATGACCCAAAGGCCCCTTGGCCAAACTCCGCTACCCCAATACAGATTGGTGAAAGTGCAGTTTTGATTGCACTGTCACCACAGGGGGTCTAAACATTCAGAGGTTTACCTTGCCTCAGCCATCTGGCCAAAAGTGCGGCTGCTGCCGCAGGGACATAGGGCCGCTTTGCAATATATATAATAATAATAGTAATAATAATAATAATATATATAATAATAATAATCATAATAATAATATTAATAATAATAATATATATATACAATAATATATATTATAAGCATATATATAATATAATATAAATATAATATAATATAATATATATATATATCATATATATATATGATATCATATATATATATATATGACATCATATATATAATATATGAAATATATATAATAGAATATAATATATATATATATAATATATATATATATTATATTCTATTATATATATATTATATCATATCGTATCGTATCATATCATATCACATCATATCATATGATCTCATATGTATATATCAGATATATCATACATAAATATACACCTTATATAATATCGGTCTCCACTTGGCACGGATCTCCAGGCACCGCCTGCTGGGCCGTCTTTGCCGACGCGGATGAGTCGCTGGACGTCTCGGATGCCCAGGGGACCTGTCCATGGGGCATGGTAAACGTAGCACCTATAAAAATGGTGACTGGGGGATGGTATACATGGCATTGTTTTAAAAAAAAATGCACCAAAAAAAATCATATCTGACCGAGTTGTTTGGTGATTGTCTACGCTGCACCAAGGCCATTCCTTATGAAGGCTAAGGAGGAATTCCTGGTTCTTGCTGAAGCAGTCAGCACGACTTGGTGATGGTGGAATTTATGGATTGGTAATGATTTGGTAACGATTGGTAATGATTCTGATATCCCCCTGCCGTGCCATATAGATAGCACATCTTTGGTGAAGCTTAATTTTGGTGAGGTTGGCACAGGTACAGGTGACAGCAGACCATGGCATGATGTAGTGGAAGTGTATGGTGGGCCCGGTGCCGAGTTATGTTGCCGTGATGGAAAATTGCTGCGCACACTGCTCCAAATTCGGAATGTCTTGCTCGCACCCTATTGGAGCAGTGTGGGGTATCTGTGGGGTATCTGTGGGGGTTGTGGTCTTAATGATTCGTCTGAATGCATCTTGCACCGTAGACCCAGTGCCTTCTGCCATGCCCAAATGCTAGGAGGCTGATAAGGCTGCCGGATTTCTTTGGAGTTGACCAAATTGGGGAACCCTCAGCATGTGGACCCTGGAAATGAACAGCAATGCCTAGACGTACTGAAAATTGCCCTGCACCTGATGGTTGGACTCAAGGCAGCTATGTTTTAGTAGTTCTTTGCAGCAACCAAGCTGGTCTTGGCAATGTGTCAGCCCTTTTCACCAACTTTGCCAAATGTTGGACATTGACGACCAAGATATGAACACGCATTCAAACATGTAGCAGTATGAACATTGCTATTGTATTTTCTGTGTTTTGCCCTCAACATGGCGTAGAGCCGTGGCAGCATGAGAATCTTACGGCTGGCAGCTGTGCTTGGCCCGTTGGCCATTGCGACAGAGGCTGGCTGCAACAGATGGGACAAAGCCCATTTCAACACCTGGCTGTACTGGAGTGGAGTGAGTGCTTCTGTGGGTGTATTCCCTTCTGCATAGAATTTTCCGTCAAATTGAGTGGGAAGTGATAGACTTCGGATCGAATGGAGAGCCATCACGATCGCATCGCACGAGGGCAACACCAACCACACCGCGGAGTCAAACGCAAATGCTTCGGTGGAACTTCTGGAGGCGCAGTGATGGACGAGTTGGCACCCCCAACTCCCCATGTTGCCTGGACAAAGCCACCGGCCAGGCTTGCGATCTTCCTGGGCAACCTGGCAGGAAGTGCGTTCACCCGATAGGATAATGGGGTCATTCCCCAGAGGTATATATTTGTGCATGGATACATACAGTAAGAATCTATCTAATATCTACCTACCTACCTACCTTACCTACCTTACCTACCTTACCTACCTTACCTACCTTACCTACCTTACCTACCTTACCTACCTTACCTACCTTACCTACCTTACCTACCTTACCTACCTTACCTACCTTACCTTACCTTCCCTTACCTTACCTACCTTGCCTACCTTACCTACCTTACCTTACCTTACCTTCCCTTACCTTACCTACCTTACCTACCCTACCTACCTTACCTACCTTACCTACTTTACCTACCTTACCTACCTTACCTACCTTACCTACCTTACCTACCTTACTTACCTTACCTACCTTACCTACCTTACCTTACCTTACCTACCTTACCTACCTTCCCTTACCTTACCTACCTTACCTACCTTACCTACCTTACCCACCTTACCTACCTTACCTACCTTACCTACCTTACCTACCTTACCTACCTTACCTACCTTACCTACCTTACCTACCTACTTACCTACCTACCTACCTACCTACCCACCTACCTACCTACCTACCTTACCTACCTTACCTACCAACCTCACCTACCTTACCTACCTTACCTACCTTACCTACCTTACCTACCTTACCTACCTTACCTACCTTACCTACCTTACCTTACCTTACCTTACCTTACCTTACCTACCTTACCTTACCTTCCCTTACCTTACCTACCTTACCTACCCTACCTACCTTACCCACCTTACCTACCTACCTACCTACCTTACCTTACCTTACCTTACCTTACCTACCTTACCTACCTTACCTACCTTACCTACCTTACTTACCTTACCTACCTTACCTTACCTTACCTTCCCTTACCTTACCTACCTTACCTACCCTACCTACCTTACGTACCTTACCTACCTTACCTACCTTACCTACCTTACCTTACCTACCTTACCGTACCTTACCGTACCTTACCGTACCTTACCGTACCTTACCTACCTTACCTACCTTACCTACCTTACCGTACCTTACCTACCTTACCTACCTTACCTACCTTACCTACCTTACCTACCTTACCTACCTTGCCTACCTTACCTACCTTACCTACCTTACCTACCTTACCCACCTTACCTACCTTACCTACCTTACCTACCTTACCTACCTTACCTTACCTTACCTTACCTTACCTTACCTTACCTACCTTACCTACCTTACCTACCTTACCTACCTTACCTTACCTTACCTTCCCTTACCTTACCTACCTTACCTACCTTACCTACCTTACCTACCTTACCTACCTTACATACCTTACCTTACCTTACCTTCCCTTACCTTACCTACCTTACCTACCTTACCTACCTTACCTACCTTACCTACCTTACCTACCTTACCTACCTTACCTACCTTACCTACCTTACCTACCTTACCTACCTTACCTACCTTACCTACCTTGCCTACCTTGCCTACCTTGCCTACCTTGCCTACCTTGCCTACCTTACCTACCTTACCTACCTTGCCTACCTTACCTACCTTACCTACCTTACCTACCTTACCTACCTTACCTACCTTACCTACCTTACCTACCTTACCTACCTCATTTACCTTACCTACCCTACCTACGTTACCTACCTTACCTACCTTACCTACCTTACCTACCTTACCTACCTTACCTACCTTACCTACCTTACCTACCTTACCTACCTTACCTACCTTGCCTACCTTGCCTACCTTGCCTACCTTGCCTACCTTGCCTACCTTACCTACCTTACCTACCTTGCCTACCTTACCTACCTTACCTACCTTACCTACCTTACCTACCTTACCTACCTTACCTACCTTACCTACCTTACCTACCTTACCTACCTTACCTACCTTACCTACCTTACCTACCTTACCTTACCTTACCTACCTTACCTACCTTGCCTACCTTGCCTACCTTGCCTACCTTACTTACCTTACCTACCTTACCTACCTTCCCTTACCTTACCTACCTTACCTACCCTACCTACCTTACCTACCTTACCTACCTTACCTACCTTACCTACCTTACCTTACCTACCTTACCGTACCTTACCGTACCTTACCGTACCTTACCGTACCTTACCTACCTTACCTACCTTACCTACCTTACCTACCTTGCCTACCTTACCTACCTTACCTTACCTTACCTACCTACTTACCTACCTACCTACCTACCTACCCACCTACCTACCTACCTACCTTACCTACCTTACCTACCAACCTCACCTACCTTACCTACCTACCTACCTAAATCTACCTATCTATATCTACCTCTATCTCTCTCTCTCTCTAAATCTATCTATCTATCTTCCTATCTACCTACCTATCTATATACCTTTCTACCTATCTCTATCTACCTCTATCTCTATCTCTCTATCTGTCTACCTATCTACCTGCCTATCTATCTACCTTTCTACCTATCTATATCTACCTCTATCTCTCTCTGTCTATCTACCTATCTACCTACCTATCTATCTACCTTTCTACCTATCTATATCTACCTCTATATCTCTCTCTCTCTCTCTCGCTCTCTCTTTCTATCTATCTACCTATCTACTTACCTATCTATCGACCTTTCTACCTATCTATATCGACCTCTATCTCTCTCTCTATCTATCTACCTACCTGTCTGTCTACCTTTCTACCTATCAATATCCAGCTCTATATATGTATAATTATATATATATATATCTATCTCTCTCTCTCTATCTACTATCTACCTACCTTTCTATCGACCTTTCTACCTATCTATATCTACCTCTATATATCTATATCTCTCTCTATCTA